GCAAAGGACATGGCAAGCTATTTCCCTGAAAATAGCCTTTGAATTTTTGACATCTTAGAATAGGAGGCCTTTTTTTCTGCTATACAATGTGAAAGTTATTATCCAATCAAGCTTTTGTTTCCTCCTTTGATCTTTAACCTTACAATGGCAGAGGCCAAAAATAATCAGGAATTATTTCTTCTGTCTATGAAGAAAAATTCTGTCCTGTGAATAACTCTGGTACCTCAGAAGCTTTTCTCTCATTACTTTTTCTTTCCATTAAAAAAATGTGGCTACTCAATAAACTATAAAGTTAGAGTGCTTAAAATTATTACATGACATGCTAACTGAGTGCTGGTGGCTATTGCTTGTAATCCTAGCTACTCAACAGGCTGAGATCTGAGGATCACAGTTTGAAGCCAGCTCAGGTAGAACTCTTTTTTTTTTGGGTCCAGTCGTGGGGCCTGAACTCTGGGCCTGGGCGCTGTCCCTCAGCTCTTCAGCTCAAAGCCAGCACTCTACCACTTGAGCCACAGCACCAATTGCGGGTTTCTGGTGGTTAATTGGAGATAAGAGTCTCACGGACTTTCTGCCCGGGCTGGCTTTGAACCATGATCCTCAGATCTCAGCCTCTTGAGTAGCTAGGATTACAGGCAATAGCCACCTGCACCAGCTCCTCCCTCCTTTTCTGTGACCCTGCCCTCACTGCCCTTCATTGCTACTTCCTGGTATCATATTTTTAAAGCAGTTCATTAGTTGTTCGCACGAGTCATGCTTTTAGACTACTCAAATATACCAGAATTTCTAAGTAATCAGAATTACTATTTTTTAAGATAATTTTTTTCTAACTACTATACAAATGACTTAACAAACTATAAAGGAATGATAAATCTTTAGGAATGGAGAAAAATAACTACTTCTCTCATGAACAATTGAGTGAAAAAAATAGTGCCAAAAACTTTAATGATATCCAAGAAGAAGACAAGGGATGAGAAGAGTGCAGGTCATGGCTACAGTGATGGCAAGATGTGGCAGGAAATCACAAAGGAGGGCATGGGGCACTGGTGGATCAAAGCTGGTGAGTTCACTGGATAATCCTGATCACATGCTTTGCAACCCTGAGTCCAAAAGCTGCTGCTTTTGTCAAATGGATACAATGGGAACAAGAACAGCCTAATTTCTAGAGTTATCTTTAAGAAAACATTTTAGGGGATTGGAAATGTGGTTCAGTTGGTAGAGTGCTGGCCAATGAGCAAAACCATCAAGTATTGTGTCCAAGTTCTGGCCAAAGAAAGCAAGAAAGCGAGAGGAGGGGGGAAGAAAGGAAGAAGGAAGGAAGGAAGGAAGGAAGGAAGGAAGGAAGGAAGGAAGGAAAAAAGGAAGGAAAAAGGAAGGAAAAAAGGAAGGAAGAAGAAAGAAAAGAAAGAAAGAAAGAAAGAAAGAGAAAGGAAGGAAGGAAAGGGAAGGAAGGAAGGAAAGAAGAAAGGAAGGAAGGATGGAAGGCAAGCAAGCAATTCAGAACTTATAGACACAGAAAATATTCAAACCCTCCTTACCCAAGCCTGGTGACATGGAGTTATCAATACACAAGGGAGATTGTTAAATATAGTCTATCACTCAGGTAAAACACAAACAATTAGAATACAAAATGGATAATCCTAGCTATGAGGAAGCTGAGATTTGAGATCTGAAGATCAGTTTGAAGCAAGTCCAAGCAGGAAAGACTCTTATCTCCAATAAATTATTCAGAAAAGGCCAGAATTGGAGATGTGGCGCAAGTGATATAGAGCCAACCTTGAGCAAAAAAGCTAAAGGGACAGAGCCCAATCCTGAGTTCAAGACCCACTTACCAGCACCACTACTAGTAATAATAATAATAACAAATGGAAGAAAGAGATTGTATTCTCAGGTTATTTTCCTTTAAAAGCTTGGTTGGTATGTATCTCACAAAAGTAAGGGCAACTTTGGTCAGAGAAAATGAACTCAAAGGAAGGATATTTCTGAAACCTGAGGCTCCCTAAAAAGGACGCAAAGGCAGCTTTGTACGGATGGAGTACAGTGCAATGTGACAAAAATAGGGCAGACAAGACTAACTTAAACTCTCATCTTTGTGTTTAGCTGGGCAAGTTTCTGACTTGCCTGTGCCCTGGTCTTACTTGAGAGAGTCACAGAGATGTTGCGACTAATACTGCGCAATGTCAAGCACAGACCTCCATCTAGACAGATCCCAAATTCTCCTTCTTTGTTCCCCAGTTTTAGGAGACAAAAGATGCAATGGGCCAAAAGATTTTTTAAAATTCTTAATTTAAAAAAAAAGGAAAGAGGCAGAACATTAAAAATTATGCCTACATTTTGCTTAGAACTCTAGTGTGTAGCTATCAGTGGAACCGCATTACAATGCCAGCCTGGTGCCTGAATGTGCCATGCATCTCAGTGTTCACAGTCAGTGATCAAGGAGGAGGGTCACTCGAAGATGGCTGGTCCCTAACCAAAAGGAAATGGTTGGTTACAAAGGCTGTCAAGGGGTTACCTTTCTTTTATTAAAACAATAAAAAAAGGTATTTTTAAAGGTCAGCCCCAGCCCATGCTCTATTTATAAATAATCTGCACTTTTAAGGTGAGGAAAAAAAAAGTGGCAAGAGAGCTGTAATCCCTAAACCTGGTGGACACGTTGAGACATTTCATAAGGATAAAAACAACAAAATCACCGCTCAAGAAGACCAGATTGTACTTTCTTTCCCCCTCAAGTTTTAATCTTTCAATGCAAACTTTTCATTGTTATGTTTTATAAAACTTGAAGGATTAGCTCCCTTGGCTGTTCATTTGATCCTAACACAGCAGCGGTCACCTGGAATGTCGGAAAAGCACAATTCACTCTTTGAAGAGGTTACAGAGTGAAACCCCCCTTTCTGCCTCCTTCCTGTCCAGTTCCGATCAAACTGTAGTCAAATTAATGACACGGGAAAGAAGTGACAAGAATCCCACACTGCCAGTCACAGCGATCATAGTAGCCACTGTACACTGCAAGAAGTGAAGGCAGTATGAAAAGATGCCCCGTTGGTTAGTTTTCAGGGCTATGGAGCAAGTAAATGTGAGCACATCATTATAATTACTGTAATCACAAGTAGATATTCTGTTGTTCAAATGGAAACTACCCAGGGGAAAAGATATCGAACTCCAAAGCTCATCTAAACACTAGAAATCTCCTCACTGCAAAATGAAAACAAAAAAGTGAAAAACGTGATTTTTGCTTCTGTGAAAAGCAAGAGAATTTCTAGGCTAAAGTTTGAAGTACAATCTATTTTCCTTCATCAGTAATTCATAGGCCTATTAAAAACAAATTACAAAAATAATACAAAGTAAGTCAAAAACTTCAGAGCCTGTGCTGTAGCATTAAAGTCAAAACAAAGAGAGTTTTCTCCAAATAGACATTCTGCTACAGAAAAGATTTAGGTTTGATTTGCATGTCTGGAAACCTTTTGACTTTGAAATTAAGTACTCTGGATGCTTTGCATGACATCTCTCACAAGTTACCTGTGTTGATTCCATTTTTATCGTTTCATATTTATGCACTGCTGCTCCCTTACTACTGCTTATTGAACAATGTATGCTAATTCATACTTATTACCATTTTCACAACAAAAGCATTCCATGGCACACATCACTCTGTAACAGAACTCCCTAAGAGATGCAAGTGAAATCTGAACTCTCCAGCTGTAAATGCTTGCACAATGCTGCTTCACTAAGTAAAAACAGGCAAATGCACAACCATTTGCACTCAGATTAGCAGATCTTAAAAATAGAACCCATAGGACTTAAAGAAGGAATGAACAAAGGCCATAGCAGATGAAAGTACCACCCAGTATTAAATTTTGAGATTAGTATAAGCAAAGACACTCAGGTCAGATAAGAGATTAACCTCAATAGGATCAAAGACACTAATTAAAGAATGAGATTACCATAATGATAGCTTTGTGGTGAGAAGACTAGACATTGTTAGAGATACTCAGGTCTAATTTCACTACCACTAGTTATATGACAAATGACGTAACCTTTCTGCAGTTGTTCCTGGACTCATAAAAAGTACCTATGTTGGGGCTGGGAAGGTGGCTCAGTGGTAGAGCGCTTGCCTTGCATGCATGAGGCCCTGGGTTCGATTTCTCAGCACCACATAAGCAAAAAAGAAAAAAACCGGAAGTGGCGTTGTGGCTCAAGTGGTAGAGCGCTAGCCTTGAGCTGAAGAGCTGAGGGACAGTGCCCAGGCCCAGAGTTCATGCCCTTCAACCGGACCAAAAAAAAAGTACCTATATTAACCTCATGCATGTACATACACATAGAATACCTGTGTACTGTGAATACATTAAAAGCTCAATAAATTGTGGCTATTATTATTATTATAGGAAAAGGAGAAGAAGATTGGAATGTATAGGGAGTTTTGCCCAGTTTGAGTTATTGCCAAATCTGAGCAATGCCTAGTACTTAACAGGTACTCAATAAATATTTGATGATTTATCAAAAGTATAAAACTTAAAAAAAATAAAGATAGTTGCTATTAGCATGACACATTTTTCTAACACCTTCTGGAAAGGGCATCTTAAAAAGTCTTGGTAAGAGGTCAAATGTTCATTTAAAAATAACTGTTGTTAAACGTTACCATCTACTGTGCTTTTCATTCTGATCACAGAAAACAACTATTATCATCTTAAAGCCTGTATCATCGATACATCCACCCCAACATCTTCTCACTGCCTTTTGAGACATGTAGGCTTTTGCTTTTACCATGTAGTCAAGGCAAGTATTTAAAGAATACTCTGGTATTTGGCTTCACTCAAAGTTAAACAATCAGTTAGCCAAATAATAAATAATCACTTTTATTGTCATCATTGCCTCTAAAATGTAAGTACAATCACTTGGATGAACCAGATAGAACAATAAAAACCAGTCAGGTGACTTTGTGGACTGGTATTTGGTGCCTTGTGAATTTTCAAAAGCAGTATTCAGGGCAGCAAATTACATGTTACCTTTGCAGAATGCTCCATGGTCACCACCACTTTGGTTTTGGCACTGGACACTAAATCCATAGCACCTCCCATTCCTTTCACCATCTTACCCTGCAAAAGAGAAACAGACAATTAGTAGTTCACCATCTTTCATTTCTGTCTTATATGAGAGAACAAGATTAATAACTTGAAGTAGCAAGTCATTGGAATAAAGAAAAACTCTTGACCCATAATGCTTATTACTCAAAGCTGTTATTTTGTGACTATATTATTCTATGGTTAAAGGATAAGATTTAGGATAAGTAGCAGATGGGCACTTTCATGAAGTATGGCTAACAGGATTTTGTTGATAATTTATTAGCAAGAAGACAATCAGTGAGAAAGAAAAAAAAGGAAGAAGAACCTTTTGAGAATTCTGGCCAAAAAAAAACCCCCAAACCACACACACACACACACACACACACACACACACACACACACACACACACACACACACACACACACACACACACACACACACACACACACACACACACACACACACACACACACACACACACACACACACACACACACACACACACACACCCCTACCTCAAGTTTAAGTCCAACTACCCTTGACATCCACATTTTTTTCTTTTTAATCACATAGTTAATACCATGGAATCTTCCATTTCAGATACTTTCTAAAGCACTCTTAGATTTCTTATGGATTAACATGCTATTAGGTAGTAGGCATTAATGGTTTCTCTAGTAACAATTCACATGAAGATGATTCTAGCTTTCTAACACTTAGCACTTTTCTGGGTCTTGGAAAAAATAAAACAAAATTTTATTTTTATTCCTGTTAATCAAAAACAGAAACCAGAAACCAGAGGCTGAAGTCAGGATTCTATCACCATTATTATTCTAATTCTGTCTATCTGTCCTCTCCTCTTTCATTATACATTTGTCAACCACCTTCTAAGGACTGTTACTACTGAGAAGTTCCCATTGTCTGCTCTGGCCCTTAATTTAATGAAGGTGTGTCCAGAGATCATGGGATAAATCCTTATACAAATTCACTGAAAAAAGTCTTCTAACATTGAAACCTAAAGTTTCTTTTTTTAACCTAACTCCTTTGCTTCATACTCTCAGAGCTAAAGGAGATTAGGAAAAGCACTCAGCACTGATATATTAAGTTGGGGTTTCAGATGTGTTTTGGTGTCTCATGCCTATAATATTATCTAGTCAGGAGGATTGCAGTTTGAAGTCAGAATAAGCAGAAAAAATCCATGAAACTCTTATCTCGAATTAATCAGCAAAAAGCCAGAACTGGAGGTGTGACTTCAGGGACAGAGCATCAACTTCAAATGAAAAGACAAAGCAAGAGTGTGAAACTGAGGTCAAGTCACACGACCAGCAAAAAACAAAACAAAGAAAAAACAATTTATTTTTAATCTTTATTGCCATTAAGTGATTACATAAATTTCACATTATTGTGAAATTTAGCTAAAGTTGCAAACACATTTTAACCTTAACAAGGCAAATTGTCATTATCATGGTCTATAAAGCTTGTGAACTCTACAAATTTTGACAATACAACTATTTCTTCCAAACTGGGTGATACGTACATTTCTTTTCTTTTGCTTAGTGTAAGCTGTTCCCTCTTTCTCTCTCATTCCCTCCCTCCCTCCCATTGCTAGCCTTAAGTTGCTTAGTTCACTTTCATCAATGTCTAGGGTCTCAAATTCCATGATTTTTAAGATACTTTATAGGCCAGTGAAATGCAGTAGGAAGATGAGTCAGATGACTAGCATTAAAAAAACAAAAAGGAATAATCTTAATGCTTTGTGATTTTAGAGTCTGTGAGTTAGATGACTAGCATTAAAAAAACAAAAAGGAATAATCTTAATGCTTTGTGATTTTAGAGTCTGCAACTTTATCATGAGATAGGAACAGCCAGCAATAGTTAGGAGGAAGAGCAGTATGGTAGACTCTTAAGTCTGGATTCAGAAATAAAGCAAAACATTCAAGTGAAAATATGTGATTTTAAACAGCTATAAAGAATTCCTTCACCCTTCATCAGCTATAACTTTAATAAACTAGCCACCAGGTTAGGATATTCTATAAAAAACAAAAAAAAAACCACTGGTTATCTTATGGATACAAAACACAATGGAGACAGTGATGGATGTGGTGACTTTCTATCCTAAGCTCTGAAGCTAAGATTAAAGTTTTAAAGTTTTGAAAGACACCAAAGTAATCTTCAACTGGTGGTGACTGGAACATCCAGACAGCCTGGGCATTTACACACTGTCCTGGGGCAGACTATAAGGGTGTGTAAGATGAATGAAGAAGGAGCCACAGAACCCCAAAATGCAAGTTATGGTGCTAAAAACTCCTTGAATTAAAAAGAAAACTTCTAGCCGGGCACCAACGGCTCATGCCTGTAATCCTTGCTACTCAGAAAGCTGAAATCAGAGGATCATGGTTCGAAGCCAGCCTAAGCAAAAAAGTCCATGAGATTATTTCCAGTAAACTACTCAGAAAAAAAGCCAGAAGTGGTGCTGTGGCTCAAATGGTAAAGTGCTAACCTTGAGCACAAAGAGGCTCAGAGACAGTGCCTAGCCCGAGTTCAAAGCCCAGCACCAGCAAAAAAAAAAAAAAAAGTTAGAATATACCACAGGCAAATTTTGTCCCAAGATACAATGGTTACATAAGTGAAAATTCATGACATACCTCTAACAGAAAGCTTGTCCAATTTAAGTAAATCAGATGTACACATTTTAAACCACTCAATTACCAAAGCAATATTTATAGGGCAATGGAGGATGTACTGGGTACAAAACACTGTACTTGTAGAAATGGATAGCACTTCAAAAAAAATAAAAAAGAAAGACCTCCTTTTTATGTTACAAAAGAACATTTTCTTGACTCACTATAAATGAATAGCCTTCATCACTCAAAGAGATTAAAGTGGTTTGATGTTTTATCCCTCAAAGCACATGCAATAAATTTCAAAGCATCATTTTGATACTTAAATGTTTGTTTCCAGGAGTGAAAAATGCCCGAGATTAGAAACAGAACACTTGAGATCTATTCCATTAACCCACCATGTGACACCAGGAAAATATCCTATCTCTCACCATTCGAGCTCATTTTATTTATAAACCAGGAATAACATTATCTGTACTATTGTACAGCTGTGGTGTGCCCTGCATAAAATAAATGAAAGTGCAGTAAACAAATTTTATAAGAAATGTTCACTTGTATCTTATTTGATCAATTCAATTTACTATGTAGAATAAGCATGACACTATAATAGAGATCTTTAAAACAGGTTTTGCTTTGAAAAGAAAGATATTACCTTCTAGGGAAGGTAAAATATCCACAAGCAGTAAGAAAGACTTGGAGCAACTTTCTTCCCCTAAAAGAAACATTCCCACTTATCAGTATTCCTGTCTACGACAATGAAGTTTATCTTTTCCTTTTCCTCCTCCTCTTCCTCTTTCTCCTCCTCCTCCTCCTCCTCTTCCTCTTCCTCCTCTTTCCTCCTCCTCCTCCTCTTCTCTCTCCCTCTCCACCTCTCCCTCCCCCCCCATAACCTTCCTCCCTTCTACCTCAATGCCCTTACTCCTTCTCCCTTCTCATTATTTCTTTCTCTTTCCATGGTAAATATTGGCACAGGTGAATGCATAAGTAAATTACTAACATAGGAAAGTTCTAGTTCTATCAGAAAACCAACATTGCAACTTCAAGTTGTGCCTAGGAAAGCAGAGATGGAAGAAACAGGCTCAGGGAGTTTCACCAATATAGGATTTTACCAAACTGAGTTGGTGAGGTGGGAAAATCAACTCTGTGAGAGAGAAAAGCAGTATCTCCTGATAGAAAGCATTTCCAGCAGGTAAACAATGAAACCTTCAAATATTTGGTTTCCCAACTCTGTTAATATATTCATGTATTGGAAAAATAAAATAAAATAAAATTTCCGTACCCAAAGGATTCTTGAAACAGAATCAATTACCAAAAAGAAGACAAGTTGTTCTATTTACACTGGCAGAAAAAAAAATAAGTAGTTATATAAAGCTCATCATTATCCTTCAACCCAGGTTAACGAGTATTCTTTGGACACTCAACTACTTGCATTTCTTAGTTCTCAATGCAGTTAGAGATGGATAGGTGCCTGAGTTCCTGACTAGAAGAAAAGGACGTAATATTTATGATTTCCATTCTTTGACCCTTACCAGTCTCTCATATGCAATCCTTTATGGTCTTTCTGCAATCAGGACAATTGACATCCAAAATGAAGCTGGAAGGTGACTAAGCTTCCCTCACACTGGGTACTAAAGTGACCGTGTGACATATTTGGAACCATGTCACACTGTCCAATATCAACAAGACACAACTGTTTTGGGTACTAGCCAACTGAACTTGGAAGGATTGTGACAGCAGTTAGTGTAACCAATACAATGATATGCTGCTTCAATGAGTTAAATAGATGAATGAGAATCCAGTGTGGCATTAGCTAACTGTTACTGGCTGCATAATGGGAAGGGAGAAGAGCAAGGCTCTTCAGGGGTCTTACTGTTCCCGTAGGGAGGTAACCTAGCCACCAGGCACTACCATTCACAGCTCTATCCAAATATCCTAGGTGTCATTTAACATTTACAGAAGTATGATGCATTTGCTCAGTGAATAAATGAGTCAGTAAAAGGGAGAAATTTTGAGCATAGAGGCTCTACCAGTTAAGGAAAACAGCTGAATATGGATACAGACCCCACCCACATTCTCACCTTCCTCCCCCAAATCCAACATCTTATTTAACATACAAAACAAGAAGCTCATAAAACAAAGGAGTTAGAGGACTAAAAATATACTTTTAAATAAATCATAAAAGAGAAAGTGATACTTAGAGAAAAATAGGCATGTAATGAAGAAAAGCATCTGTGCCCAAGTAAAGCACTGGGCCATGATGACACAAAATGTGGCTTACTTTAAAATCTCATCAGCAAATGTACATTTCTTGAATGGTACAACTATAGTTCTGAAATGTATTTTGGCTAGCATAATGGAGAGATGATTGCTAGATATTCAGCTTATAGCCAATTCATCCCTTTTCCAGTTAGGGA